ACTGGCTCTTCCCACTGCCCCCAACTGCCAGCCTGCAGAGACCTCTTTGCAAAAAAGTGGAAAATCCATAGATGTCTCCGTTAAAATGAAGAGGGGAAATCTGTGGGGGTTTTTCCATGGGAAACTTAAAATCTGGATCCAGTGAATTTAAGGAATCTTGCCTAGTACTTGCACATGCTCATGTTGGTCTAGTCATTATTTGTCTTCCCTTATTTGATTAGCCTGAAAGGCAGTTAAAAAAAAAAAAAAAAAGTCAGGCTGAAGTACATTAGCTTGACATTTGATTTAGAACAACTTCCCTCCACCCCATTTTGACAAAAAAGGGGTGCTTACAGATGTAAAAAAAAAAAAAAAAAAAAAAAAAAAAAAAAAAAAAAATCAGAAAACCCTTCAGTGTTTTCCTTTAAACTTGGTGCATTCCCATGTTGCGCTCAATGCATGCCCAGAGGCAGCAGTGAATTACTTCAACCTGGTTCGCCCAACATCTGTAAAGATTGGGCACATTAGTGGGGCTTTTATCTAATAGCCAACTGAATCAGCTTTACCTAAAAAAGTGTAAAAAATCCCCACTAAAGTCTGATCTTTACAGATGCTGCAGAGCCGTGTTGAAGTAACATGCTGCTGCTTTTGGTAAAGCAAGGATTTGTTTTTTTTAACATCTGCCAGAACGATACAGGCAGGCACTTAAATAAAACAGTAAGTTGGGAAAATACTTTCTCCTCCAGTCCATTGAAATTCCAGCTCTGTCTCACTTAAAACGTAACTACCTTAACTTTACATACTCAGCTTATTCTTTAGTAGATCAAATAGTTGTCTCAAGAGGCAGACAGGACTATACAGAGAGATAACTCCTGCAATTTCAATACACTATTCAATTTTTTCCTTGTTAGTTTTATTTCAAGCAAAAACACACCAAGAACACCACAATCTTTCTTCCATGATGACAGCTTTTCGGAAATCTTGGCTACAGCACATTAAAAATATTTTCACTGCAAGTTCAATTTTGTTTTTCCATCAGGCAGCAAGCAAAAAAAAATTGGCTAGCTAAACAAGTCACATGGCACTGAATATGCATTTGTTCTCAGCCATTTGTATTCATAAAATCTTAGCCATTCACGTGGCTGTGGGCTACCATCGAGCCAATATATACAAATCAATTGCATTTTGGTGTGAAAATGAAACTACTACTAGTGAAATGTACACTAGTATAATACCAACGTCTGTAATAGTTCCTCCACCAAAAAAAAAAAGCCTAAAAGGGAAAACCAATAAATAGCAACATTTCCTTGTAGGACACTCCTGGTAATTAGCTTATCAAATCATTTCTAGGGTTTCATAAACTCTTTGGTGAGGCACATGTACTTCTGTATTCATGCTCATAATATCCAGATAGGTCCTCTGGTATTAGCAACAAACCAGATCTTTATTTAACTTATTGCATCATTTTTTGTTTTGGCAGAAGACTCAACCTAGTTGGATATTATATTATTCACCTGTAGCTTTTAGTGATTTTTTTAACATTATAGCAGATCTCCCCTATAGGGATTAAGTGAAAAAAAGAAAACGAGTCAAGAATAAACAACTCAGCCAAAATAAAAGTTGGCAAAACATTTGTTTACATTTTCTGGTTGAATTCTGATATTTGAGCACCCTTTGACAATCCAGTCATCTGCACTAATTACAATAGTAAAGAGTTTGAGCTAATTGCCTGGGTTGGGTATAGCTGCCAGGAACTCGGTAATATTTTTCTGCATTTATTGTAAAAAGCCATTAAAACAGACAGACAGAACAGGAGCTGTTAATAGCAACTTTATTGTTTCACTGGTGCAAAATCATGATACTGAATTAACTTGTGTAATGCATTTTCCCCTAAATTTACAATAATGAAGGTTATACATATACTATATAGAGCACAATTTCTCTATTTTTTATACTATTTGGAACAAAATTACCTTGATAAATATGCCCTGTGCACAGTACTGGCCCTCACTGAGTGTCACAGAGCCTTCATATGCAAAATATAAACTTCTGTTTTTGAACATGGTGCTTCAAAACTCTCCAAACATGCATTAATATATTCTAGTTTAAGGAAAAATATTACACTTAGCCTTAACTTGCATTAAAAGAACAGTTCAAGCAGAAACCAACATACAATATCCCCCAAAATCAGATGCTCTGTAAAAATCAGATACATTTGAGATGGATAGTCACTGCCTGGTTAGAACTCCATAGTGGTACAGAAGCAACAGTGAAACAGAAAGAAAAGAAAAACAGATTAGAAAACTGGGAAAAAGTTGTAACATGTTACATGAATTTTAAAGAAAGATTCAGTCATGATATTTTTATGAGTAAATCTGCAGTTGCTGATCCAATCTGAATACCTTTTAAATTTAAGTAGTGAATGCAAGTGTCTGCAAGTGCTGGACTGAACACACATGAAATGAATGGGAACCTAACATGGCATTTCCAAAAGGCACCATCTACGAAATCTAATAGTAATAAAAAACATACTGTGTGTAAATGAAGACAAAAACAAGTACAGCACATGCCTTCTTTAAAAGATAAGACCTTCATAAATTGGACCTTCTGATTCTGGTGATTCCCTCCTCAAACGCAAGTGCTCCAGTGTGTTGTGAAAGTGTTTGTTAATCTGTTCCGTTTCTTCAGTAGATTCAAGATTTGGCAGGTCTTCTCGTATCTTTTGTATGAGTTGATTCAAAACTTGAATTGTCACCTACAATACAAACACAGATAGCTGAAACCCAACCAGTAAGTGACAAAAGACACAAGCTTAGAGACCTTGCACTTCTGTCATGCACACACTTCCTCCATAACGAGTGGAATTAAGGCACAAGTGTTAGTTTAGAGTCATGGTCCCCATTTGTAATTGCTAAGGGCCAGGTGTGACAGTGGCACACTTCTCAGATTTTGTACCATTACTTACTCATTTTAGAAAGTTACAACGTTTCCTACCTCATCATGAGCTTATTAATAAGCTTTAGTTTGAAGACAGCTATTACAAGTAAAGCAATTCAAGAAGTATTGAATTCAATGGAACAAGATGATAAATTCCCATTGAATTTCAAAGATAAAAGGTGCTGTGCTCTTAACCATAAGCAATATCTACATATCAAAGCAGACAGGAAAAGATGATTCACAGGAAGTGCTATTTGAAGAGTGGGGAAAAAAGGAAGATATTCGTACTTCTTGTGTCAACTGGTGCGCTAAATAATTCAGCTGGCCTTTATCATATGGAGGCATCCAAGTATCACAGTTTCGTAACAGATTTAGCAAAGCAGAGGAAAATGCTTCAAGTCAGAAAGGGTCTTAGGAATATAAATTTGAAGTTCTGTCTTGAAAGCGTATGCTAATTAAATAAATACACAAGTCCAAGCTAGTTGAGTATGCTTATTAAAATATTAGCATCAGCAAATCTCATGAATTACAAAGATACCCATATTCGTTTTCACAAGCGTGCCTAGTGAATTTTAGTCAGTACATCAGAAAAGCTATTTTATCATCAAGTTCATAGCCAATACTAAACCCATGGGACTTAGTCTGTGTATTGGCCAACTAGTTTTCTTTTTTAGTTGTCTTTCCTACTGGAACTTCGAATCTCAAAAGTTATGATCCAGTCTGCTCCTTATTTTATCAACTCTTCTTTTAAAGAAAGATATACAAGCTTTTACCATTTACTTCTCTCACATTTAAGTCTCTGAGAAGTAGGCAGAAAGAAGCCAGAGACTAGCTGCACTGGTAACAGCTTACAGAAGGGGATTTTCCCTCTGGCCATACATAGGGACAATTCATTACTCTGCCATGAAGCACAAGTATACGCATGTTAATTAAACCTGGCCCACAGCACCTTCTAACTCGTATGTCAAAGTACTGGTTATAAGCTGCAGCATCAAGGAACAGACTTAAAAGGAGGAAAAAATCTCTTACCGCTTCATTTTCCTTTTCATAAAAATAGATATATCTGTTCAGAATTTCTATAAAAAGCTGAACTTGAAGTGAAGGATCCATGCACTGATTTGCTATTTTCAGAGCCTTTTTCAAGCACTCCATTACTCTCTTTCCTCCATGAAGCTAGTGGGAAGAAAAAAAAGTTTAGATATAAAAAGGACAAAACTATCTTTCCCAGCACCATTTCACCCAACACATATTGGAGACTGCCATACATGTGCCTTGTCAAAGCACAGACCTTGTCTGCTTTGCTTAAGAGGACACTTTTCATTATTTTTAAGACATATTGTATTGGCTGTTGCTGGGTGACAAAACATTTCCATTGCAAATTCCAGGCAATGGAATTCCAGTTTGAAACAAAATGTCTTAAGTCACCATTTGAACAAAAGCAAACTAATTAACACAGAAGAGCGACTAAAATTTTATTCAGGGTAAACCCCTCCTGCTAGTGGAAATTATTTCTACTTCACATTATAAGCATGATCCTCCCTACCCCAATTTCTTTTTATCTATGAAACAGGGATCCGGACAAGTTGGAAGCTTGCCAAACCCCTCAAAAGGCTACTGTTTTTACAAGTTGTGGCAGAAGGCCAATTCTGTTTCTCCCCAAAAACTCTGCTCTGTGACAATTCAGTTAAGATGGGCCCTACAGAGGGTACACACCTTACCCTCTCTCTTTAGAGTAACCTAAGCTGGATACATTCCTGAGGGAGGGGCAAAACCTGCTCCCTCTGCCTATGTGACTGGCATCACATACCTGGGTGAGGGGCTTGGGCACCTTGGTGGGCTAGAGACTGCCAGTCTGCCCAGCAACCAGTGATGCATTTCAAATTGGTTGGCTGACAGCCAGCTGGCCACCACTGGACCAAGTAAATGAGGTCATAAGAGCTACATAAGTTAAGAACTGCCCAGGAGAAGGGGGCAGCAGCCATGAGGAAGACAGAGAGAGAGAGGAGCTGGACTATCTAAAACTTGCTCTCTCAAAACTCATGATCAAGGAACTGCCTGCCTCCAGAGGGAATCTCCACCTGCCTCTGGACGATGCTTTTGAGTAAACTACCTGAGATCTAACTAGATGTATAGCTTGCAGTAACTCGGATGCATGATCCAGCCGTGCCAGTTTGCTCTATGGGATTTCTCTGATATTGCTCTACCCTGTATCCTATTCCAACCCTACCCTTTGTAACTAATAAAGTTCTCCTTTGTACCTAGCGTGGGAGACTTATTGGGAGAGGGTCTAGATTATGTCTTGGGGTCCCCTTGGTTC